GTATTTCATTGAGTGTTTTTATGATAGCTATTTTGAAATCTCTGTCGTTTATATTATGGATTTCTGTGTCTTCAGGGTTGGTTTCCGGGTGCTTGTCATTTTCCTTCTGGTCTGGTGATTTCATGTATCTTTGCATTGTGGTTCCTGTGTTGGCTTTGTTTTTCCTCATCCTGGAAATCTCTGGTTGCAATTACCACCCGCTGCCGCTGTGTGGTGGTAAAGGGCTGTGTAATCTAAGCCCCCTGTGCTCTGCCGTGGTTTTTCCGCTGCTGCCATCCGCGGGTCAGATCGCTTGGTCTGGTCTGCCGCAGATTGCTTGGTCTGGTCTGGTTGGCTGAGCTGCAGGGTCCGGTTTGCAGGGACGGGGGGCTCTCTCTTTTGCCCTCTGGATCCCTGGCGTGGGGGGCTTCTCATTTGCCTCTTATTATCTGCTCTCTGGGGTGCTCAGATGTTAATGGTAACCCTGTGGCTCTTCTGAGTCCTCTGTGTGGGAGTTTCCCACTGGCTGAGAGAGCCCAAAGAGCTACGGTTTCCCTGCAGACAGCTGCCCCTCCCCCCTCTCTGAGAGCCATGAGGACCAGGATTGCTGATCTGATGGGGAGGGAGAGGAGTTCTCTTTACCGCTCCCCACTTCCTCCGGGGGGCCCAGCACATTCCACTCTCAGATGTGCGGCAGTGTGGATCTTTCCGATCTAGCTTTTCACTGTCTGGGATTCGTTGTTGGTCTGTGACTGTTCCTTTTGTTGTATCTTATCGGGGGAAGAGTTCACGGGAAAGCTCACTCTGCCGTGACACTGACGTCACTCCAAAAGCACTTTTTGGTGACTTTGGCCAAACCTGCCTTTACTGTGTTTTAAAAAATAATCCTTACTGTTTGCAGATTTTTTTCTAGAAAATTTTAATGTGATTTTTAATTGATTTTTTTAACATGTAAAGTGAAAGTTCTGATTTAAATACATGTTTTCTTCTTAGTCATTTAGAAGACTTTGAATCAATAGCAACAATATAAAGGACACTGAATTTTAAGTTGTTAGGTTTTTGAAATAGTATGGGCAGCTACTCTGATTATTATGTCTCCATATTCTAAGATGTAATTAATGGAAATCTTAAAGTAAATATACATTTAACTACATTTTGATAACTGGAGGATAATATGGTTAGCATATTTTAAAGATATATTGGTCTAGGCCAGATGATACAATTCACTTAATCATCAGGAAAGAATCACACAGTCAAATCAATCAGTTAGTATTCTCCATCAGCAAAACGAGGAAGAGAATAGGACAGAACTACTAGGAAACCATACAAAAAAAGGCTCTTTTCAGTATTTGAAAATTGTTTTATATTTTTTTGTTGCAATTTATGATGTGAATGAAAAGGTTACCATGCAGATGTGAAAAATAAGCCACTGAGAGGAATTCTAGGCAATCTCACTTCCCATCAAGTGTTTTGTGATTCATGCATTAAATTCTCTCTTTCCTTTTTCTCACTAGGTCTTGATTACTATGCCAGCTGTCCAGAGAACATGCTATTAAATGACACTCTATTGTCCACTTATATACCTTTGACCATTTTAGATGCCTCATATGAGAGGAATTTCTACTCAACCTCTATGAGACCATTGAGATAATGACCCCTCTTCCTTCTCAAATTGCTCTTTCCTTGGTTTTAGAAATGACATACTATCCTGGTTCTTCTGTGTCTGAATGTTCTTTCAATGTCTCCCTTTTCTCCTCTAGCCCCCAAATCTGGGTATTTCTCAACACAGACTTTGCCCATCTTCCTTTCTTGTTTTGCATTTTCTCACTTAACTAAATCTTCTATTTCTATGGCTAGACATTATTTGGCCTCAATGTAGGTGACTCCCGTATTTCTTCTCATGTCTTAACTCCTCTTCTGAGTTTCAGATCCACATTATCCAAGGGTCTGCTGGACAGCTCCACATGGATGTCCTGCCATCATCTAAAACTCAACACATGCAAAATAGAATTCATCTTCATACATTATACTATCCATTTAATGCAGTGCCAATAAAAATCTTAAAGGAATTTTGGGAAGGGGGGATTGGGGAAAGGTATGACTAAGTAATTCTAAAGTTCATCTAGAAGAATCAGTGTGCTACCAGAGCTAAGAGGAATAATGAGACCCTACCAGATATTTAGATATTTTATAAGGCTACAGTTATATACAATAAGATCAATGTAACATAATATGAAATCCAGAATTTGACCCACGTGTGCAGGTATGCATATATGAATGTATATACATATATATATATATAAATATTTGATTAAAAGCTACACAAACTCACTGGAAAAATGCTAGATTATTCAATAAATAGTGCAGGGGCAATTGGTTAATCATTTGGAAAAATAAAATTAGGTATTTTCCTCACACATCTTAAAGCAAAGTAAATTCTAGGTGGAATAAATATCAAGCTGTAAAACAAAAGAAACCATAAGGATATAAGAAGCAAATACAAGGGTATGTTTACATAATTGTAGTACAAGGAAAACTTCGTAATCATGACACCAAAGTCAGAAACCATAAAAGAAACGATTGGTATACTTGAAAATATAAAAATTACAAACAAAATTTCTGACATCACAAGTCTCCATAAGCAAATTTAAAAGGCAAAAAATAAAGGAGAAAACACAGTGTTAATATCTTGATCAATAAAAAAAGCAAACAAATGAGCCAATGCAAGATTCTTTCCCTTTCTCTATCACAGATGCAAAAAAGACTATATATTGTATGATTCCATTACATGAAATGCCCAGAAAAGACGAATTTATATAGTCAGAAAGCAGATCAGTGGTTGCCTGGGTTTGGAGGTAGAAGTGGGGATTGACTGCAAATGGACTCAAGGAAATTTTTTGAAGTGATGAAAATATTCTAAAATTGGATTTTAGTGGTGGTGATGGTTGCACAACTCTATAAAATTTAATAAAAATCATTTTCTACATTTACAATGGATGAAGGTTATGATATGTAAATTAAACCTGATAAAAGTCTTCATGAGATAAGGTGTCAGAAGAGAACTGTTTCTATGCTTGAAGTCAAATGAAAAATACTTCTCATGGACAAATGGTATAATTACATGTTATTATTGGAATTCTCATTTAGGGAAACACTGAGAAGTATTATAAAGATGATCCAGCCTAACTCCCTTATTTTGCAGATGAGGAAACTAAAGCTCAATGAATTAGATGCTTTGCCTAAAGTCTCATAATTAGTGGAAGATCTAGGACTTGCACCCAGGTCGGCTGACTGCTAACCTGATGTTTGTCACATTATACCATACTCTCTTTCATAACAATGCATTTATAACGCTCTAACCTAAATTGACTAAAATTCCAATAAAATAAAAACAATCATGTACTTAATTGTAATGTATAGATCGTTGTAATAACCAACATTTCTAAATGTGGGAGATCACTACTGTGGCAGATGAATATTCCTTGTTGTGATGACTTGTGGGAGACTGTTTAGGTGGAGGGATTAAAAACCAAAAAGGTAAAAGACAAGAGTTGGTAAAGACACAGAGAAATGAGAACCCTTGTGCACTGTTGGTGGGAATGTAAACTGGCACAGCCATTATAGAAAATAGTGTGGAGGTTCCTCAAAAAATTAAAAATAGAACTACGATATGATCCAGCAATCCCTCTTCTGGGTATATACCCAAAGGAAATGAAATCAGTACCTTGAAGATGCATCTGCACTCCCATGTTCATTGTAGCATTATCCACTGTAGCCAAGATATGGAAACAACCTAAGCGTCCATCGACAGATGAATGGATAAAGAAATTGTGGTATATATGTATACACAATGGAATATTATTCAGCCTTAAAAAAAGGAGATCTTGCATTTGGGATGACACAGAAGAACCTGGAGGACATTATGCTAATTGAAATAAGCCAGACACAGAAAGAAAAGTACTTCACAATCTCATTTATATGTGGAATCTAAAAAAGTCAAATATGTAGAAGCAGAGAGTAGAATGGTAGTTACCAGGGTGTGGAGGTGGAGAAAATGGAGAGATATTGATCAAAGGGTACAATGTTGCAATTACATAGGATGAATAAGTCTGGAGATCTAATGTACAGCAAGATGATTATAGATAACAATAACATATTGTATAATGGGAATTTGCTAAGAAAGTAGATATCAGGTGCGCTCACCACACACAAAAAAGGTAACTATGTGAGGAGATGGATATATTAATTAGCTTGACTGTAGTAATCATTTCACTATGTATATGTATATCAAAACATCATGTTGTACTCTTTAAATATATACAATTATTATTAATTATAGAATAAAAATAAATCTATTTCTTTTCGAATGTTTTACCAAATGTTTTGAGGACTTTAGATTTGAAGTGCAGTAAGGTGAAAAGCAAGTAAAAATGCATGAAATTAAAAAAAAAAACTATTGTTAGGAGGTGCAGCATATAAAATACCTTGAGAGCTTCCTTCAGACAAACAGATGGATACTTCATCATTTCTGTCATTATCCTCTCCTACTTCAGGACCAGCTTCTTCTCCTGGTGTGAATGCAGACAAAGAGCCAGACTCGGGCTGCTCAGAAAAATCAGCAGGGCCTCCTCTTGGAGGCGGAACTTCAATCCCCATTAAACGATATTTCCTTCTTCGATTCCCAATCCAAGTCTTTATAAGAGAAATACAACAGGAAGTTTTGTAAACATAGAAACCTTAGCAGTTATGGCCATTAAAATAACGAATGGATGCTATATAAAATATGATTAAAAATAATTAAGATACCTAGAATAATGAAATTTTATTATTACTCAAATAAGCTAAAATAAAAATAATTACGTTTTTACATTTAAGTATCTTATTAGCAGAAAGATGATATTTGTCTGAATATTTAGACTTTAAAGCAACATGCAGTCCATTGCAGAATGCATTTTGTTTTTATTTTTCTGGAGAAAATAATCCACCAAATCTTTGAAAAGAAACACAAATTAGCTCTTTTCCTAAAGGGACCAGGCATACAGCTATAACTATAGTTCATATTCCATTTCCAATCTTGCTCTTCCTAAGTGAAAATCTGTCTTCTACTAACTTTGGATCCATAACAGTTACCTGGGTATTCCAAATAGTCTCAAAAATTTCACTTTATCTGATTTAGAACCAATTTTTAAAACTTTTTATATTAAAATAATTTTAGAGTCAAAAGAAGTTGCAAAGAGAGGTCTCCATTCAATTTCCTCCAATTTACATTTTACATAATTATAGCACAATATCAAAAACAAGAAACTGATACTGTACAATATCTGTGTACACTTCTATGTTCCTTTATCACACCATTCTTCTTCCTCTCCTTCTCACCACCCCCAACCCCTGGCAACCATAAATCTGTTTTCCACCTCTATAATTGTGTCATCTCAAGAATGTTATATAAATGGAGTCATACAGCATATGACTTTTGAAATTGGCTTTTTTCACTCAGCATAATTTTCTGGAGATTTATTCAAGCTGCATGTATCAATAGTCCATTCCATTTTGTTGCTAAGTAGTATTCCATGACACTTATGTACCAATTTTTTTCCATTTTCTTTGCAATGTTTGTTTAACCTTTACTCTTTGAAGGACACTTGGGTTGTTTCCAATTTTTGGCTATTACATATAAAGCTCTATGAACAGTCATGTACAGGTTTTTGTGCAGATAGAAGTTTTCATTTCTTTAGGATAAATGCCCAAGAATGCAATTGCTGGATCGTATGGTAATTGCATGTTTAGTTTTATAAGAGACTGCCAAATTGTTTCCAGAGGAGTTGTACCATTTTACATCTCTACCAATAATGATTGAGAGATAAGTTTCTTGGCATTCTTGCAAGCATTTGGTATTGTATTTTTTTTTAATTTTAGCTGTTCTCATTGGTGCATGTAGTGATCGATCATCAAGTTCTTAATTTGATTTCCCCAATGGTTAGTGATGTTGAAAATTTTTTCATGCTTTTATTTGCCATCTGTATATCCTTTTCAGTGAAATGTCTCTTTGTGTCTTTTGTCTACTTTCTAATTAAGTTGCTTTTTCTAATGTTGAGTTTTGAGAGTTCTTTATATATTCTAGATATGAGTTTTTGTCAGATATTTGGTCTTGCAAATATTTTATTCTATTCTGTAGCAGATATGAGTTCTTTGTCAGATACTTGGTTTGCAAATATTTTCTCCCAGTCTGTAGCTTATATTTTCATTGTCCTGGTCTTTCGCTGCGCAAAAGTTTTTAATTTTGATGAAATCCAAGCTATTGCTTTTTTCTTTTATGGATTGTGCTTTTAGTGCCATTTCTAAGAATTCTTCACCAAGCCCTAGGTCTCGAAGATTTTCCCCAGTTATTTTCTAAAAGTTTGATAGTTTTATTTTTACATTTAAATCTATGATCCATTTTGAGTTCATTTTTGTATAAGGTATGAGATTTAGGTCAAGGTTCATTTATGTTTTCCTATACATATCCAATTGTTCCACCACCATTTCTTGAAAAGACTTCCTCCGTTGAATTGCTTTTGCACCTGTGTTAAAAATCAACTAAGTTAGCCATACTTGTGCATGGCTATTTCTGCGTTCTCTCTTCTGTTCCTCTGATCTATATGTCTATCCCCATGTCAATACCACACAGTCTTGACTACTGTAAACATGTGTCTTGAAATTGGGTAAATGGATTTCTTCTACTTTATTCTTTTTTACCAGAATTGTTTTAGCTGTACTACTGCATTTCCTTTCCATATGAATTATAGAATTATCTTGTGTAAATCAACAAAAAATCTTGCTGGGACTTTTATAAAAATTATGCTAAACCTGTATATCAATTTGGGGGGACTTTACATTTTTACTGTGTTGAGACTTCTAGTCCATAAACATAGAATGTCTCTCCATTTGTTTAGAACTTCTTTGATTTCTTCCATCAGTGATTTGTAGTTTTTAGTACACAAGTCCTGTACATGTTTTGTTAGATTTACACTTACACATTTGATTTTTTGAGTGATTGCAAATAGTATTATACCTTTAATTTAAGTTTCAATGTGTTCATTTTAATTATATAGACACACAATTGATTTTTGTATGTTGATCTTGTATCCAGAGACTTTGTTGAATTCACTTGTTAGTTGTAGGAGTGTTTTGTAGTTTTCTTAGGATTTTCTACACAGCCAATCATGTTTATCTTTTATTTCCTTTTCTTGCATTATTGCTTTGGCTAGAACTTCTGGTACTATATTGAATAAAGGTAGTCAGAGTGGACATCTTCTTTTGTTCCTGATCTAGGGGAAAACACTCTATTCACCATTAAGCATGATGTTAACTGTAGGTTTTGGGCACTTGTGGGTTTCTTTTCTGGGAAGCTTTTAAATGATGAATTCAATTTCCTTAATGGTTATAGGGCTATTCAAGTAATCTATTTTATACTGGGTGAGTTGTGGTAGTTTGCACTTTTTGAGGAATTGATCCATTTCATCTAAATTTTCAGATTTGTGCATGTAGAGTTGTTTGTATTATTCTCTTATTATCCTTTTCATGTCTGCAAAGTCTGTAGTGATATCCTCTGGTTCATTCCTCATATTAGTAATTTGTGTCTTCTCTTTTTTCTTTGCTCAACTTGCTAGATGTTAGTCAATTTTACTGATCTTTTCAACGAACTCACTTATTTTTTATTTTTTTAAATTGATTTTTTTTTTTACCTTTTGCCCCCCTTCACTCATTTCTCCCACCCTCCCACCTCTGGCAACTACCAATCTGTTCTCTGTATTAATTAATTAAAAAAATTTAATAGACTTTGTTTTTGACCAGTTTTAGGTTTATAGAAAAAAATTACGTGAAAACCACAGAGTTGCCCATATACCTCTCACCCTCCAGACAATTTCCTCTGTTTTTACCATCTTTCTAAAATTAATGTGGTGCATTTGTTATAACTGGTGAGCTAATACTCATAGATTATTAAGTAAAGTCCAGAGTTTACATTAGGGCTCACTCTTTGTTGTACATTCTATAGGTTTTGGCAAATATATAATGGCATGTATCCACCATTACAGTATCATACAGAATAGTAGTTTCATTGCCCTAAAAACCCCCTGTGTTTCACCTGTTCATCCCTCTCTCCCTCCCCGCAAGTCCCTGGAAACCACTAATCTTCTTATTGTCTCTCTAGTTTTTTGCCTTTTCCAAAATGTCATATACTTTGAATCATACAGTATGGAGCCTTTTCAGATTGGCTTCTTTCACTCATCTGTATGCATTTAAGGTTCTTCTATATCTTTTCATGGCTTTATAGCTCAATTTTTTAAACTACTGAATAATATTCCATTGTCTGGGTGTACCACAGTTTATCTATTCATCTACTGAAGGATATCTTGGTTGCTTCTAATTTTTTGCAACTATGAAAAAACTTGCTATAAACATTCGTGTGCAGGTTTTTGTGTGGACATAAGTTTTCAGCTCATTTGGGTAAATATCAAGCAGCACAACTACTGGATTATATATTAAGAGTACGTTTAGTTTTCTAAGAAACTGCCAAAATGTCTTCCAAAGTATCTGTACCATTGTGCATTCCCACCAGCAATGATTAAGTGTTCCTGTTTCTCCACTTCCTCACCAGCATTTGGTGTTGCCAGTGTTTTGGATTTTGATCATTCTAATAGGTGTGTAGTGGTATTTCATTGTTGTTTTAATTTGCAATTCCCTAACGATATATGGTATTGAGCATCTTTTCATACGCTTATTTGTCATCTGCATATATTCTTTGGTGAGGTTTCTGTTCAGATCTTCACCCATTTTAAATTAGGTTGCTTGTTTTCTTACCACTGAGTTTTAAGAACTTACTGTTGAGTCCTTTGTATATTTTGGATAACAGTCCTTTATCTGATATGTGTTTTGCAAAGATTTTCTCCCAGTTTGTGGCTTGCCTTTTCATATTCTTAAGAATGTCTTTTGCAGATTAGAAGTTTTATATTTTAACGAAGTCCAACTTATCAATTTTTTTTTCTTTTATGGATCATGCTTTTGGTGTTGTATCTAAGAAGCCAACACCAAACCCAAGGTCTCCTAGATTTTCTCCTACGTCATCTTTAGGAGTTTTATAGTTTCCCATTTGACATAGGCCTATGATCTATTTTAGTTAATTTTTGTGAAGGATGTAAGGTCTATGTCTAGATTACTTTTTTACATCTGGATGTCCAGTTGATCCAGCATCATTCAAAAAGACTATACTTTTTCTATTCAATTGTCATTGTGCCTTTGTCAAAGATTAGTTGACTATATTTATGTGGGTCTATTTCTGGGCTCACTATTTTGTTTCACTGATCTATTTCGTCTGTTCTTTCACCAATACCACACTGTCTTGATTAGTGTAGCATTACAGTAAGTTTTGAAGTCGAGTAGTGTCAGTCCTCTGACTTTATTCTTTTCTTTTGATATTGCATTGGCTATTCTGCTTCTTTTGCCACTCCATATAAACTTTAGAATCAGTTTATTGATATCCACAAAATAACTTGAAATTTTGAATGAGATTGCATTAAATCTATAGATCAAGTTGGGTAGAACTGACATCTTGAAAATATTGAATCTCGCTATCCAGGTACATGGAAAATCTCTCCATTTATTTAAATCTTCTTTCATTTCTTCCATCAGAGTTTTGTAGTCTTCCTCCTATA